AACAATGACCAGCAGCTGTGCTAAGTATTTAGCCCCCTTTTTTTCTTCCATTGGGAATAACTGCAAGTTAATTTTTGCATAAATGGGTGGGTCTTAACCCACTATAAATAGAAAACTGAAATGCAGGAATCTCATTGATCCTGACGAAGCTGAGTGAGATACGCCCATCGGCGAAACACGTTGACGTCATACGTCAGATACGTCACTTCCGGTCATGCGCACTAGGTGGAACGCACGCTGACCTACAAGGAGGAAGCCATCTTCACATGCCATGAGGCAAGCTTAAGCAGCACAGGCGCCGAGAAGAGGTCGGAACCCGCGGTATGTCGGTTGATGTTAGCGGTGGTTCCCTGGCCTCGCATGGCAGTACTTATGAAGGACATCTTTTCCTTTCCTATTATCCATTGCACAGGTGGTGAGTGGACTGTTACAGGACACTAGTTATATGGTCCTATGTGATCTATATGACCTATACATCTAATATAGAGTGAAAGCTCCTCCAGTGACTTTCCACATATTGTTTGTTTCACTACAGGATGAGGTGGGACATCATGGTGCTTTACATAGGAAACAAGATACACCACGTGTATTTCAACAGGCAGAAGATCTATTGGGATTTGTCTTGTTTTTCTTACAGAAAGTGGTTTGTAGTCCACATGCAGTGGTGAAGAAACCATTTCAAGCAGTGCTCTGCTATTTGCATCTATCTTCCCATCCTGGTAACAACTGGGGCTTATTCTCATTTAAGAGCCCTAGGAATCAGTCGCTTGTATTACAGATGAATGGGCCCCAACCACATGTGCCGGCATAGGAGTGTACTGCATTTTATATATGATGTCCATTTTTTGTCTCATATAGGCCTAGAGGCATGCCTCTCTTTTTGACGCATACTGTGCTTGCTGCATTGCATACATGTGATATTTTATATCTATATTATAATTTTTTGACACTCCCCTTTTTGGGATATAACCATTATGGTAGTAACATATGTCTACATATTTATAACATGTTACATGGTATACCTATGGTATAATTTTTGTATACACCTCCTTTGGGAAGTGTTCACCTATGTGCCAGTGCTACAAAGACCTTAGACTCTAGTAGTCATTGTCTTTGTTGCACATATATTCAGACCGGTCTTGGTGTCATTTTATATGGTTTTAGGTCTGTGTGTATTGTCTCACACTGAGGTGATGGTAAACCAGGGCGATTGCCCAAATGTCAAATTTGTATGTGTAATAAAGCATAATTTTTGGAAATTTTTCCAAGTATCACATTCTGTTCATAATGTAGCCGCTTTTTCTGTGAATTTCTTTTCACAACCTCCTTCTTTTTGCATGTCTTTTTTGGCTACTGAATGGAGGCCATTTACTGGGTGATACGGTAATTTATTTTATTTTACAACCTCTATATAACTATCTTTAACTATTGTGGGAAGCCTTGCACCTGACACCTTTGGCCAGTACACTTAGCTCTCCAGCAGACTGGAACACAGGTTATCACAGACTACACACATTGCTGTCACTAGAAAACACCCTTTAAACACTTACCCCAACCTCCCACACTTTCCACAGGCCCTCCTGAGAACTCTCAGCCCCCACAATGTTTCCCCCAACCTCCCACACTGTCCACAGGCCCTCCTGAGAACTCTCAGCCCCCATAATGCTTCCCACACTGCCCACGGGCTCCCCTGATAGCTTTCAGCTCCCACAATGCTTCCCAACCTCGCACACTGCTCACAGGCCTGAGAGCTCTCAGCCCCCACAATGCTTTCCAACCTCCCACACTGCCCACAGGCCCAAGAGCTCTCAGCCCCCACAATGCTTTCCAACCTCCCACACTGCCCACAGGCCTGAGAGCTCTCAGCCCCCACAATGCTTCCCAACCTCCCACACTGCCCAAAGGCCCCCCAAGAGCTCTCAACCCCCGCAATGCTTTCCAATCTCCTACACTGCCCACAGGCCCCCCTGAGAGCTCTCAAGCCCCACAATGCTTTCAAACCTCCCACAGGCCCCTTACAATCAAATATGCTCCTTCATTATGAGGGGCCACATTGTTAATTTCACAAATATCCGAGGGACAAAAAAAATCAATTTATAAATGAATTAAATAAACTTTAATGAATGGAAATGTTTTATTGGACCTTCATTGTAATCAGCATGATGTGATCCAGAACACAAGAGAAGAAAAGTCCCTCCTTTCATCAGTGTCCTCATTATCCTCCCTGTCCCCCCTTACAGAAGTCTCCATCACAGTCCTCCCTATATCCGTACCCCAAATCAGACCCCCACCCCCCACACCAGTGCCCCATCACCCTCCCCTCTCACAACAGTGTCCCCCTTACAACAAAGTCTCCATCACAGTCCTCCCTATATCCATACCCCAAATCAGACCCCCACCCCCCTCTACACCAGTGCCCCATCACCCTTTGCTTTCACAACAGTGTCCCCCTTACAGCAAAGTCTCCATCACAGTCCTCCCTATATTCATACCCCAAATCAGACCCCCCCCTGACACCAGTGCCCCATCACCCTCTGCTCTCACAACAGTGTACCCCCTTACAGCACAGTCTCCATCACAGTCCTCCCTATATCCATACCCCAAATCAGACCCTCCTACACCAGTGCCCCATCCCCCTCCCCTATCAAAACAGTGTCCCCCTTACAGCAAAGTCTCCATCACAGTCCTCCCTACATCCATACCCCAAATCAGACCCCCCCCCCTCTACACCAGTGCCCCATCACCCTCCCCTCTCACAACAGTGTCCCCCTTACAGCAAAGTCTCCATCACAGTCCTCCCTATATCCGTACCCCAAATCAGACCCCTCCCCCCATACACCAGTGCCCCATCACCCTCCCTTTCACATCAGTGTCCCCCCTTACAACAAAATCTCCATCACAGTCCTCCCTATATCCGTACCCCAAATCAGACTCCTCCCCTCTACACCAGTGCCCCATCATCCTCCCCTCTCACAACAGTGTCCCCCCTTACAGCAAAGTCTCCATCACAGTCCTCCCTATATCCGTACCCCAAATCAGACCCCCCCCTTACACCAGTACCCCATCAGTGTCCCACATAAAATGAAAACTGCTCCTTTTCCTAGGTTTTTTTTACTCCATGAGTTCCCCCATACATCATTGTCCCTTGTAATGGAACCGGACCCCGACTGCACTAGGGTCTTTCCGTTAGCCTCCCACTTCCCCGTCCAAACACAGATCCACGGACACCACCCTGACCACACAGGAAATAGACTGCTTTATTTTAACACAAACACAAGACACAGGGCGGGGAAATACATCCAGTAACAGGAAATACATCAGCAGGCCGTCCCATCAGGGGGAAGGGCTGCCGGAAACACCCCCCACCAAGCCAGTACAAACACATATATCCCATAATAGTTTGCTCCCAAGCAAGACACAAAAAATAGAACAATGGGACAACCACATGGCAGTAAACAATGAACAACCACCCACCCCACCTTTACATGTCTACTCAATAGCAGGACATATCACCCTGTACCCCTAACAGGCCCATCACAGTCCTCCCTTACAATACTGTCCCCATCAGCGTCTCCCTAACATTAGTGTCCCCATCAGAGTTCCCCTTACATAAGTATATGCCATACATCAGTGCCCCATCATAGTCCTCTATGACAACAGTGCCCCCATCAGAGTCCTTCATTACATCAGTGTCCCCATCAGAGTCCTCCATTACATCAGTGTCCCCATCAGAGTCCTCCATTACATCAGTGTCTACATCAGAGTCCTCCATTACATCAGTGTCCCCATCAGAGGCCTCCATTAAGTCAGCGTCCCCATCAGAGGCCTCCATTAAGTCAGCGTCCCCATCAGAGGCCTCCATTACATCAGTTTTACCTCTTTTATTCTGCTTATAGCATTGCTGTAGCGCTGTAGCAGAAGGGTGGAAGCTGGGAGGCGGAGCAGGTCTGGATGGAGGAAGCTCCACCCTCCTGTGAATGCTGGTGCAAGCTTGTCACTGGTTGCTAGGACACCAGCAGTCCTAGCAGACGACAAGCACAACGGGGTAATGAAACCTGCCCTGGAGACTGCACTTGTGGGGGAGGAAGCAGTTGCTGTTGGGGGGAACACTGGAAAAGCAATGACTGTGCACATCAGCTGAGGACAAAGTAAAATTTATTGCAGGTCTCATGGGACCCGCGGGCTGTATACTGGAGACCCCCTTCCCTATACTAACAGTCCTTGCTAGTGACACCAATCACTCTCTGACATATTGTACACACATTCCTACATTCCTTTCTGGAGTTGCTCTGCCTGCACTCCTGGATTGTATTGCTTAGTTGCAACTTTACTTCCTACTACCTTGAAGTTACATTTTTTCTACTTTACGAAAGTATCTGTTTCCCTCTCTGTAGCCATCGTGATCCGAGCAATTAGGAGCCACCAATCAATTCCTTTCCAGAATTCTGCTGTGACTAACCAAATTCCCACGACATCTCGGGTCTCCTTGTGAACAGTTTCCTACATTACAAAGACCAGCCCTGTGTTGTCTGAGAGGTATCTGAATGTGTGCTTCTTCCCAGTGTGAGATCTCTGATGTATGGAAAAAAAGGATTCATATAGAAGACATTTCCCGTACTCAGGACTTTAACACACCACCGAGGGCTATGTGGGATCTCTGATGTATGGACAGTTGAAACTTCTGTGTATAACATTTCCCACACTCTGGACAGAAATACGGCTTCTCGCCAGTGTGAGTTCGCTGATGTCTATAAAGGCTAGACTTATCTGAGAAACCTTTCCCGCACTCAGGACAAGAATACGGCTTCTCCCCTGTGTGAGATCTCTGATGTCTATAAAGAATAGATTTTTCTGAAAAACCTTTCCCGCACTCAGGACAGGAATACGGCTTCTCACCCACATGAGACCTCTGATGTCTACAAAGACTGGACTTATTTGAAAAACATTTCCCACACTCAGGACAGGAATATTGCGTCTCAGCCATATGGGATCTCCGATGTCTATAAAGACAGGACTTATCTGAAAAACATTTCCCGCACTCAGGACAGGAAAATGGTTTCTCCCCCGTGTGAGATCTCTGATGTGTGAGCAGTGAAGTTTTATACAGAAAACATTTCCCGCACTCAGGACAGGAATACGGCTTTTCACCTGTGTGCAAATTCTGATGTCTGCAAAGACTAGACATATCTGAAAAACATTTCCCGCACTCAGGACAGGAATGTGGCTTCTCACCTGTGTGAGACCTCTGATGTACAACCAGTGCAGATTTTCGAGAAAAACATTTTGCACAATCAGGGCAGGGATATGGCTTTTCACCTGTGTGCAGTCTCTGATGTCTGTAAAGAGTGGACGTAGTGGAAAAACATTTCCCGCACTCAATACAAGAATATGGCATCTTGTCTGTATGTAATCTCTGATGTTTGTTGAGACTGGATTTATGTGAAAAACATTTCCCGCACTCAAGGCAGGAATATGGCTTCTCCCCTGTGTGAGATCTCTGATGTTCAGGGAGACTTGATTTATGCAGAAAACATTTTCCGCACTCAGAACATGAATACAGCTTCTCGCCCACGTGAGATCTCTGATGTACAACCAGTGAAGTTTTATAAAGGAAACATTTCTCACATTCAGGACAGGAATACAGCTTTTCTCCTGTGTGCAATCTTTGATGCCTGGAAAGATTGGTCTTGTCTGAGAAACATTTCCCGCACTCAGCACAGGAATATGGTTTCTCACCCGTGTGAAATCTTTGATGTATGACAAGTTCTCGTTTCTGTGCAAAGGATTTCCCACACTCAGTACAGGAATACGGCTTCTCCCCTGTGTGATATCTCTGATGTAAGGAAAGATGGGACTTTACTGAAAAGCATTTCCCGCACTCAGGACAGGAAAACGGCTTCTCTCCTGTGTGAGACCTTTTATGCACATTAAGACCGGATTTATAGTGGAAACATTTCCCGCACTCAGTACAGGAAAGCCTCTTCCCTGTTGGAAGGCCGGCCCGGTCCCCGCACGGTCTGAGGTTCCTCAGGATACAAGGAATCTGATGGTCCATCTACAATGGGTGGTGCCGGATGGACATTGGAGGGAGCCGGGTTTTCTCCTGGACTATACTGTGTGATGTCCTCATCTTCTACTTTCCAGTCTGGAGACAAAGTGAGACAATCCTCGGAGGTTTTCCTCATCATCTCCCGGCCATGGACTAAAATACAAAGACAAAGAGGATTACTAGGAGCCCCACCAGAGGTCAGAGAGTGAGGATAAGGGGGGGGGGGACCAAGAGGAAGACTGGACTCATCCTGAAGACCACCATCATTGGGGTATTGGCTCCTCCCCCATTCTGACCCTGAAGAGCACCATCATTGGGGTATTGGCTCCTCCCCCATCCTGAAAACCACCATTAGGGTATTGGCTCCTCCCCCTATCCTGAAGACCACCATCATTGGGGTATTGGCTCCTCCCCCTCATTATCACTGTCTGGTTGGAGGATGTGATGACATTATTATCACATGTAACAGTCTGTGCTCCAATCACATCATCCGATATAAAATGTCCAGCTAGTAGGAAATGGGGGGGAACAGAGGAGAAGACATATTACGTGTATATACAGCGAAGGAAATGCGCATTTGCTCTCTGCTGATGTTGAATGTTCGCCCACTCACATAGAAATGATCAGTCTAAAAACTGAATGTTCGGTGTATTGTAACACTGAGAGACAGAATAGCAACAACAAATTCAGCAGAAATGCATATCTAACAAATGATGACTGATCTGCATGTTCATGAGGGAAATAAGGATTTGATCCCCTTCACAAAACATGACTTAGTACTTGGTGGCAAATCCCTTGTTGGCAATCACAGAGGTCAGACGTTTCCTGGAGTTGGCCCCCAGGTTTGCACACATCTCAGGAGAGATTTTGGCCCACTCATCTTGGCAGATCCTCTCCAAGTCATTAAGGTTTGGTGGCTGACGTTTGGCAACTTGAACTTTGAACTCCCTCTACAGATTTCCAATCGGATGAAGGTCTGGAGACTGGCTAGGCCACTCCAGGACCTTAATGTGCTTCTTCTTGAGCCCCTCCTTTGTTGCCTTGGCCTGTGTTTTGGGTCATTGTCATGCTGGAACACCCATCCACGACCCATTTTCAATGCCCTGGCTGAGGGAAGAAGGTTCTCACCCAAGATTTGATGGTACATTGCCCCGTCCATCGTCCCTTTGATGCGGTGCAGTTGTCCTGTCCCATTAGCAGAAAAACACCCCCAAAGCAGAATGTTTCCACCATGTTTGACAGTTGGGATGGTGTTCTTGGGGTCATAGGCAGCATTCCTCCTCCTTCAAACACGGCAAGGTTGAGTTGATGCCAAAGAGCTGGATTTTGGTCTCATCTGACCACACCACTTCCAACCAGTCCTCCTCTGCATCATTCAGATGTTCAGTGGCAAACTTCAGACGGGCCTGGACATGTGCTTTCTTGAGCAGAGGGACCTTGTGGGCACTGCAGGATTTCAGTCCTTATTGGCGTAGTGTGTTACCAATTGTTTTCTTGGTAACTGTGGTCCCTGCTGCCTGGAGATCATTGACAAGATCCTCACGTGTAGTTCTGGGATGATTCCTCACTGTTCTCATGATCATTGACACTCCACGAGGTGAGATCTTGCATAGTGCACCAGACCTAGGGAGACTGACACTTGTTTTGTGTTTCTTTCATTTGTGAATGATTGCAAAAACTGTTGTCACCTTCTCACCAAGCTGCTTGGCCATAGTTTGGTAGCCCAGTCCAGCCTTGTGTAGGTCTACAATCTTGTCCCTGACATCCTTGGACAGCTCTTTGGTCTTTGCCATGGTGGAGAGTTTGGAATCTGATTGTTTGATTGCTCCTGTGGACAGGTGTCTTTTATACAGGTAACAAAATGAGATTAGCAGCACTCCCTTTAAGAGACTGCTTCTAATCTCAGCTTCTTAGCTGTATGAAAGACACCTGGCAGCCAGAAATCCTGCTCAATGATAGGGGATCAAATCCTTATTTCCCTCATGAACATGCAGATCAGTCATCATTTTTTGTTAGACATGCATTTCTGCTGAATTTGTTGTTGCTATTCTGTCTCTAAGTGTTACAATACACCGAACATTCGATTTTTAGACTGATCATTTCTTTGTGAGTGGGCAAACATTCAACATCAGCAGGGGAGCAAATACGCATTTCCTTCACTGTATAGCAGTGGGGGGAGGGCAGAAGTCAGGACTATGGAATATATAACATAGAGTATATAGCGCAGGGGTCAGGAGTATGTAATGCACTATATAAATTATACTTGGTCAAGACTCATACTATAATTTAGCAATCATTGGTATCCTATGTGTTTTTCAGATGATGGGGGATCTAGGTGGAGCCTCCGTACTGCTCTCTCCTTTCCAATAAAGTCTCCTCTTACCCAGTGATGTGAGGGGCGGCTGATTGTCCATCATGACGTCCTTGTAGAGGTCCTTGTGTCCTTCTAAATACTCCCACTCCTCCATGGAGAAATAGACAGTGACACCCTGACACCTTATAGGAACCTGACACACACAATGATACAGTCACCATCCAGACACATCCCTTGTCTGTTACTAGAGAATGTCCCAGAATTCCCGGCACCGCTCACCTCTCCTGTCAGCAGATGGACCATCATGGTGGTCAGTTCCAGGATCTTCTGCTCTTTGTTCCTCTCAGGTATGGGAGAACGAGGGGGAGGCACCATGGTGGGGCTCTGGGTCCTGCTCCATCCTCCTGAGATTGGCTCCCCACTAGACTTCTTCACTACAACATAATCCTACAGATCAGGAGAAAGAGAAACCGATATCAATCATCTGACATCATCTACATGTCTACAAGAAGAACATGGTCTATTGGCCAGACTAGACCAGAGTGATGTCATTTGACCTCCCAGACTCCTCACCTCTCCAGTCAGGTCTGTGTGATGTCATGGGACCTCCCAGTATCCTCCTCACCTCTCCGGTCAGGTCTGTGTTTTATTAATAGATTTTAGGAGTGACGTCATGTGACCTCCCAGAATCCTCCTCACCTCTCTGGTCAGGTCTGTGTTTTATTAATAGAGATGAGAGTGATGTCATGTGACCTCCCAGAATCCTCCTCACCTCTCCGGTCAGGTCTGTGTGATGTCATGTGACCTCCCAGAATCCTCCTCACCTCTCCGGTCAGCAGGTAGATGATCTCCAGGGTGAGGTTTAGTATCCTCTTAGTCATGTGACTCCGGTCCTCCTCCATCCTCATTGGTCTATACAGGTCTCCTTGTAGACAGATAACTATGGGAAATGAAAGTAAGAATGATTTGGATGGTATCGGTCACACAATGATAGGATGAGGATGGGTGGTGGTGGGGGGGGGGCTGGGAGGGTTGCTGGACATATAGGAGATATGGCCCCCATGGGAACACATTTAGTTTGGACTGTTTAGTTTTTGTTACATCTTGGAGGTCCTGGGACCCTCTTGTCCTGCCGGGTCAGAAATTCTTTTCTCTTTTGGGTTTGTTTGGTCCCTGAACTGGTTTTAATGAGTATTAGATCTGCAGACAAGGAATGATAAATACGATCCTTCCTATGACATGTTTGCTTGGAAGCAGTGCTGTGAGGACAATATCGGGTCATCATGATGTCCAGGAAGGGGAAGTTGCTGACTTTTTGCTGGAGTTGTGGACTAATCAGAGCTGCAAGGCCCCAATCTCCAGCAGCCTGCTGACTGACAGGAGTGATGTCACTGTCACTCTCTGCAGGAAGCATTGGATTGGATAGCTGGAGGAGTAGAAAGCTGTGGGGGGAGGAGTCTGTTCTCTTCCCTCCAATGGTAGCCTGGTGTGGGCAGCGGTGGGAGGTGTTTGTTCTCTTGGTTGCTGAGTATACTGTATAATGGTGGGTTCTTTAAGATCATTAACCACTCAGAGTCACCACCCTGATAGAGCCCTTCAGCTACAATACCCCCTCAGAGACCTAGAGACCCATCAAACCCTCAGAGGCCCCATAGGTGTTTGTTCTCTTGGTTGCTGAGTATACTGTATAATGGTGGGTTCTTAAGATCATTAACCACTCAGAGTCACCACCCTGATAGAGCCCTTCAGTTACCCCCTCAGAGACCTAGAGACCCACAAACTATATATCTCTGTTTTTAGCTCAGTTCCCACACTATATATGTGTGTATCATCATCTGCTGGAGATAAAAGATGTCACAGTGACTATGGAGGAAGAGGACGAACGTGACTGTGGAGGAAGAGGACGGACGCGACGGTGGAGGAAGAGGACGGAAGCGACGGTGAAGGAAGAGGACGGAAGCGACGGTGAAGGAAGAGGACGGACACGACGGTGGAGGAAGAGGACAGGCGTGACCGTGGAGGAAGAGGACGAACAGGGCGATGGAGGAAGAGGACGGATGTGACGGTGGAGGAAAAGGACGGGCGTGACAGCAGGAGGAAAAGGACAGACGCGACGGAAGAGGACAGACATGACGGGGGGTTACTGGGTGTAAATATAAAAAAAGATAGATCTTATTACCTCCTTTGCTGCCACTTCCACCAATGTCTCCTCTCTACTTCCTCCTGACTCATTTCTCACCTGGAGCTTCCAATTTATACCTGACATCACTGCCTGTCTGTCCCTGACATCACTTCCTGTCTTCCATAGAGACTTCCTGTCTGGGTAGAAGTGGGATCCCCACCTTATGGAACTCAGAGGAACTGCAGCCCCAAGAACCATCTGGTACTGTGACCCCGGCCTTGTGCTGGGTGTGTATGGACTGTATGTCCTCATAGAGGGGTCACCTCCACTCCCACTTCAGTTTCTTTCTGTCCATGAACCATGAATTTAAATCTAACCCAAGCTCTTTGCAGTTCGCCAACTGGAACACCAGATTTAACCATCTCACCCAAACCTCCAGCTGTTGTAGCCTGAA